AGGTCTCACATTTAGGTCTTTAATCCATTTTGAATTTTTTGGTGTGTGTATGGTGTAAGAAAGTGGTCCAGTTTCATTCTTTTGCATGCTGCTGTCCAGTTTTCCCAACACCATCTGTTGAAGAGAGATTAGTCCTCCCTTTTATATGCTCCCATAGCCCTGGTGTTGCTCTTACATAGCATTTTTCACAATTATGATTCAATAATTAGAGTTGAACCTTCAACAACATGGAAGTTAAGGGCACTGATGCCCCCACACAAAGTCAAAAATCCATGTATACCTTTTGACTCCCAAAAACTTAAATACTAATAGCCTACTATTAGCCAGGAGCCTTATTGATAACATAGTTGATTAACACATATTTTGTATATTATATGTGTTATATATCATATTCTTACAATAAAGTAAGCTAGAGAAAAGAAATTATTAAGAAAATCATAAGGCAGAGAAAATATATTTACAGTACTATATTGTATTTATGGGAAAAAATCTACATTTAATTGGACCTGTGTGGTTCAAACCCGTGTTGTGCAAGGACCAACTGTATTTGTCTGTATTTGTTTAATGTCTGGTTCTTCTGTTAAATTGTAAGGACTAAAAAAAAAATTATTAAGAACTATGAAAACTAGAACCAGTTTTACTGTACAGGCTTGGTCCATGTTTTGCCTTTTTAAAACTATATCCCCATCACTGAACATGGTGCCTGGTATATAAGAATAAACACTTTATGTATGCATAAGTCAGTGAGTGAATGAATGAATGAACATGATCCTCGAGCTGAATCTATCATTTATCAGTATCCCAGAGTCATTCATTTATGGTCAAAGTAGACTTCTCATCAGCAAATATGAATTGAGGATACCTTTGTATCCTTTGTAATGCACTTTGTAATTCTACCACTTAGCATGTTGCCTGGTACATAATAAGGATTTTATAAATGTTGGATGATGGATGGATGATGGAAGATTGAATGGATGGATGAAAGGAACCAAATACAGTAATTAGGTTTGTCTATAGTTAAATTTACCTGTCGTTTTGTGTAAGCATTATAATCATCCACATCAAATCATCTAAGCAAATATGAACAGATTTGAAAAAGTGCAGGGAGATTAAAGGAAGAAAACAAAAGGGAAAGTAAAACCTCATGTTTCTCCTGAGCTCTTAAAGTCTTATTGTCTGTAATACATATTTGGCACTTATAACTGTTACTTACCTTTATATATGTGTATGGTTTATCCACACTTATATATATGCATGGTTAACCACATTATAAACTTCTTAAGCTCTAGTAACATACCTTATATTGCCCTGTATCTTCCCCCTCAACTTCTGCAGCAGCTGGCTCAGTGCCTAGCCTGTAAGAGGTACTCAGAATGTAGCATGACACAGTGTTGCTATATTCTGACCGACTTGTTTTTTCTCATGTACTGTAAATAAAGGCTAATTTTGTCTCCCTGAGCCTTACCCAGTCTCTATCCTGAAGTTCCAGTCTCTGATTGCCAGAATGATGCTATTTCATTATCTAGGTTGCACACACCAGACTTAAAGCTAGATAAAGAAAAGATAAAAGTTGCTGGCTCGGCGCTCAAGGTATAAAAGTCTAAATTAGACTGGCAGTTGTAACAATGGTTAAAATAACAATAAGTTAAAAATAGTCATTGTCACTAATGACAAATTTTCTGATAAAGAAATAAAGACATCAATCCCACTTACAGAGCATCAAAAACAATAAAATACTTAGGAATAAGTTTAACTTAAAAGGTGAAAGATCTCTACTCTGAAAACTACAAGACGTTGATTAAAAAAAAAAATCAAAGAAGACACAAATAAATGGAGAGGTATCCTGTGTTCATGGATGAGAAATATTAATACTGTTGAAATGTCAATACTGCCAAAAGCCATCTACAGATTTAATGCCATCCCATCAAGATTTCAATGACATTTTTTACAGAAGTTTAAAAAAAAACCTCTTAAAATGTATATGAAACCACAAAAGACCCTGAAAAGCCAAAGCAATTCTGAGAAAGAAGAACAAAGCAGGAGGCATCACACTTCCAGATTTCAAGCTATACTATAAAGCTATAGTTCTCAAAACAGCATTGTACTTACATAAAAACAAATAAACCAATGAAACCAAACTGAGAGCCTAGAAATAAAGCCAAGCGTATAGTCAACTAATATTTGACAAGGGAGCCAAAATATTCAATGGAGAAAAGACAGTTGTTTCAAAATATGTGGCGGAGATAACGGGATATTCACATGTAAAGAAACTGGACCCAAAGCTTACACCACTCACAAAAATTAACTTGAAATGGATTAAAGACTTACATATAAGACCAGAACCATGAAACACCTAAAAGAAAACATAGGAACAAATCTCTTTGACATGGGTCTTGGTAATGATTTTTGGATATGACACCTAAAGCACAAGCAACAACAACAACAACAACAAAAAAAAAATGGGACTACATCAAACTAAAAAGCTCTGAACAGTAAAAGAAACCATCAACAAAATGAAAAGATAACCTATAGAATAGAAAAAATATTTGCAAACTGTATATCTGATAAGATGCTAATATCCAAAATAAGTTAAAATTCATACTGGATCACGACATCAAAACTAATGATGTATTGTATGGTGACTAACATAACATAATAAAATAAAATTTAAAAAATAAATAAATAAAATAATGCATGAAAAACAATTTAAAAAATTCATACAACTCAATGGCAAAAAACAAAAACAAATAACCCAGTTAAAAAATGGGCAAAAGACTGGAATAGACATTTTTCCAGACAATACATGAAAGGCCAACAAGTGCATGAAAAGATGCTCAACATCTCTACTCATTAGAGATATAAAATAAAACCACAATGAGGTATCACCCCATGCCTGTTAAAATGGCCAAGATCAAAAAGAGAGGAAAAATTCTGCTAAGGATGTGGAGAAAAGGGAACACTTGTGCACTGTCGGTGGGATGTAAATTCGTGCAGCCACTATGGAAAACAGTATGGAGGATCCTCAAATAACTAAAAATAGAACTACCATATGATCCTGCAATTCTACTTCTGAGAATATATCCAAAGGAAATGAAAACACTAACTGGATAAGATACCTGCACCCCCACATTCATAGCAGGATTATTTACAATAGCCGAGACATGGAAACAACCTAAGTGTCCATCAATGCACGAATGGATAAAGAAGTTGTAGTATATAACTAGTGGAACATTATTCAGCCATAAAAAGCAAGGAAATTCTACTATTTGCAACAACATGGATGGACCCTGAAGGCCTTATACTAGGTGAAATAAGACAGACAGAGGAAGACAAATATTATATGATCTCACTTATATGTGGAATCTTAAAAAAAAAAATCATGGAAAAAGACTTGTGGTTACCAGAGGTGGAGGGTAGAAAGGGAATTGGAGGAAGTATGGTCAAAAGGTACAAACTTCCACTTATAAGATAAGTAACTATTAGGGGTGTAATGTACAGCATGATGACTATAATTAACACTGCTGCATGATACACAGGAAAGTTATTAAAGAGTAAATCCTGAGTTTTCATCACAAGAAAATATTTTCTTTTTTTCTTTCTTTTCTTTTTATTGTATCTGTATGAGAAGATGGATGTTAGCTGAACCTACTGCGGCAATCGTTTCACGACATATGTAAATCAAACCATCATGCTGTATGCCTAAAATTTATCCAGTGATGTATGTCAATTTTTTATTAATAAAACTGGAAAAATGGTCATTGTGAGTTTTTTTAGGATAATTACAATGTGACTATTTATTTTGTGCTAATAATCTAGAAAAAGATTAAAATGCACTTTCTGAAAGAAAAGACATCTAAAGAGCTTTGTGTATTTCTGATAAGCTGCTAAAATCCAAAAGAATAAAAGATCATACTATCAAGTGTATAAATGATATTTTGCTAGTTGTTAAAATTCTTATAGAAAAGTAAATAAATAGGGCTCCTGGGTGGCTCAGTCAGTCAATCATCTGCCTTTGGCTCAGGTCATGATCCCAGGGTCCTGGGATCAAGTCCCGCATCGAGCTCCCTGCTCAGCTGGAGAAGAGTCTGCTTCTCCCTCTGCCCCTTCCCCACTGCTCATGCTCACTCTCTCAATTTTCAAATAAATAAATAAATAAATAATCTTTAAAAAAAAGAAAGGTAAAGAATTGAAGAACTAGATCCTGTCAGGACCAAGTACTTGTAAAAAGAAGGAGGAAGGGAGTGAGGAAAGGGAGAAAGGAGGAAAGGAGGGAAGGAGGAGGGAGAAAAGGAAGGACAGGCGGGCCTATGTCAATAAACCTGCACACGATTCTCAGAGTTTGCCAGTCCTTGTTCTGCTGACCTCTTAGCAATGACTGAGCAGCCCTGTCACCTGTATGTTCAGTCCCACTGGGTTTTTTAAGCCAACCCTGTACAAAGCTGGATTAGCCAGTGGACTAATCGCCCTGTACCTAGGCAGAGATGGTAACACCCCACTAGCAAAAATGACTGAGCATGCATCCCTATACATGTGCCTCTATTTACATGTAAATTACACACACGTTCTATTGTAGTACTATATTATATACATCATAAGACATACATAGAAGTGTAATGTTTTAAAGAATGAGGTAAAAATAAACATGACAGTGCTAGTGTTTCTCTTCTTTGCTCCCACGGATCATGTGTACAGCCCCCAGGGAATGTTCCCAGCTTGGAGACCTCTGGTGGAAGCTCCCCCTGGAAGCCCCAGGTGTGTTTTTCTCATCTGTGTGACTGTGCTTCTGCCTTTCTGATTTGCCCTTAGGCTCCCTCTTCCTCCCACTGTAAGCAGGCACCCTCATCTGAATCCCAGCCCACTCATCTGGACCCCTGAAACTCTGATTTATTTTGTTTCAAATCCCTCTCCGCTGGGAGCATGACTCTGCTCTTTAAGCCTCAGCCACTGGTTGGGAATGTGATCTGCAAACATACACCTACAACCACAAAGGTGCCACTCACCTGGCTCAATCACTGGCTCTACCTGGAAATTCTTGCTGTTCTATCAGATCCTTCAGGACACTTGGCGACTACAATGCTGCTCCTCGGGAAGGAAGGATGGGAGTTGTTCAAATAAAGCTACCATTCAGTGTATGTCTGGCGACAATAGATAACTTTTCTTTCTTTACTCCTGTGTCACATAAAACACAAGCAGGGATATGTCAATCTGACAGACTATAGCAGCACAAATCAGAGTGTTTATTATAATACATGTCTAATATATCTTTGGTGTCAGTTGTATTGACTTTCCTATTAATCATTAGCATACTAATTAAATAAAAATTCATTTATTACCACATTTTAGATTAGATTGGCTTTTTCCCCCTTTATGCCATCTGGTGTGTCTTCTTCCAGTACAGTCTCTTTCAAATATGCAATCTCAGGGTTATAAAACTCTCTGAAAATGTAATAACCAATACCACAGTAAAACAAATGCCTTCAAAGGACAAGAGAATTGCTTTGTTGAGCCTTCTGATATCAGTAACATGAGTCAGCTGTCAGTCTGTTATCAACAATTAGACCAGTCTGGAATGTTCAGCATCTCCAAAGCCACAGGATTCTCTAAAATGAGGAGTAAGGGGCTTAAATTTTGGCCTCAGCTCCTCTTCTCACTCTACAATCCTGTTAGTCTTGAAATTCTCATAGCTAAGTTAACCAATTATCAAAGGAGAAAATGTAAGAAGAAAACCTTGTTCCAAAAGTACTATGTGTAGGGCTCATGGATGTTTAAATTTGGTTATCTAACAGGAAATACTGCAATAAGAAAAGGCAAAAATAAAAATCCTCTTACATCTACATATAAAAGGAGCAACTGCAGAACAGTTCTAAAACCAAAAACAAAACATAAGTATCCTAAACAACTATCACTAAATTGTCACAAAGGAGCATTGAGAATGAAAAATGTAACACTGAGAATGAAAATATAATCCTATTTAACAATTGCTTTATATCTCACCTTAAACTTGATAAACTGGAAAAATCCAAGGTTAGATAAAAGCATAAGTAGAAAAAGTGAAAATAAAATAGAAATATTCACCAGCACTGCATCACTTCAATAGAGAATATCTCATTGTTAGAGAATAATAGTGGGGGAGAAAAACACTTCCAGTTTGACAATTTTAGAATTTCTAGTTCACTCTCTTTCAAATTTGAAAATAATCACTTTTTATAGTTTCCAGTTTGTTCATGAAATATTTAAGACTGAGTTTTCTCTCCCTAAGCATAATAAACATGGTTTATGTTGGTCTGCCTCTGGTAATTCTACTCTGCAGATGTCCCATGGATCTGTTTCAGTGTTCTATTCTCAGTCATGTTTTCTTGTCTCTCTTTCTTATCTTTAACAGTGTAGTGGACATCATAGTGGGGGGGGGGAACCTTAGAGTTATAATTTGAGGCTGAGAATGACCTTTATCCTCCTCTAAGAGAAGACTTTCATTTGCTTCTGCTAGGAGCTCAGGTTGCACCGGCAATCTAGGCTCCATTTGATCAGACTTCAAGGTTGGAAGTTTTGGGGCCCATGGATAACTGGAAGGCTGCCTGGAATCCATGTTAAGAGTTGCTTTATGTCTCACTGCTAGGGTGCAGACTTTTGGTGCTCCATCCACAATCGGTGTTCCCATGGACCCTTCACTCTTGGTATCACTGAACTCTAGTTTAGGTACCCCCTGTTCTCTGAGGCTTTCACAAACAGTGCTCATCCCTTCAGCCACCCGTTCTGGGTTGGCAAATGTTCCCTACCATGCAAAAGTGATCCCAAATGCCAGGCACGTGTTCTGTATTACTGTCTTCTCGCAGGTCTTGGCAAGGTAATTCTTTACTCTTTTGTCAGTTCTTAGGTGATTTTAGAAGATTTTTAAATATTTTGTCAAGCTTTTTCAGTTAATGTCAACAGGAGTGTTGGTCCAAATTACCTAGTCCATCCACCATTAAAGGGGTCAGAATTCCAATTACAGTTCAAGTTTAAACTCCAGTTGAAGGTAGCATATATCATTTTCCTTTTGAAGTTTCCCACTGGACAACAAATATATGTCATTGTTTTCTTTACTTATATCTAATTCCAAAAGAAAGTATTCAATGAGTTTCATACAAATTATATGATGATTCCATTCAGATGTATATTAAATAATTCACCTCCATATAATAATAATAATCAGTCAACAAATATTTATTGAGCATGTACGATGTGCCAGTCTTATTTTAGGTGCATCAGTGAAAGAAACAAAGAACCTCCTCATCCTTACAGTGCTTATATTCTAATGATAAGAGACAGATTACAAAAGCTTAAATATATAAAGAGGTAAATTACATGGCATGTAATATATTAGTATATCATATTGGAGGTGGCACATATTATGGAAAAGAGTAAAGCTGAGTAGATCTGTAGAGTCAGGACAGGGAGAAGAGTTACAACTTTCTTCAAAGTAGCCAGACTAGGATTCATTGAAAAGATGAAATTTTAGCAATAACTTGAAGTGAGGAAGTCACCCATGTGTATATCTGGGGGCAGAGAGAACAGCCTAACCCTAGGCTAGGATTATGTCCATCCTGATCATGGAACGTCAGGAAAGCCATATGGCTAGAGTGGAGCGAGAGAAGGATGACGAGGAAAGGATGAGTTATGAGAGATCATGGAGGTGAGTGAGGTAGAGCTGGCCACAGGGCCTTGGGGCTATTGTGAGAACTTCAGCTTTCATGCTGAGTGCCATAGTGAGCACTGCACTGGGGAGAGAAGGGGTTTTACCATTCTGGCTGGGGTTCTGGGAATGGGTGGAAAGAACTGGAGACCAGATAGGAGCACACTGCAGGAACACAGAAAACAGATTATACTGTCTCAATATAACTCTGGATGTATTTTCAAGGTGACATCAATGACATTTTGACAAATTAGATGTGGAGTATGAGAAAAAAAAGAAGATACAAGTATATTTTCCAAGATTTTTGGCCTGAGCAACCAGAAAGACTGAAAAGGGGAAGGCAACAGCCTAGTGGAAAGTTAGAAATGCAGTTTGTGTTGCATTTGACGTGTCTACTTGACAATGGAGATAGACACCCATGTCGGATATTCCAGTCAGGAGATAAAGGTGAGAAATCTGAAACGGATATATAAACTTGAGACTCTTAAGTTAATAGTTTATATTTAAAGCCATGAGACTTAATGAGATTCCCACGGGAACAAAAATAGAGGAATAAAAGATGTCAAGGACTGAGCACTCAAACATTAAGAGGTCCCAATATCATTCATATGTATTGATTTTGGAGCGATAAAAGGAAAAGCTGAGTAGCGGGCAATAAGAGCACAATCTGAGGTCAACAGGAGAGAATATATGAAATCAGGAAAACACAGGAAATGTGGCCAATAATTATTTACCTTTCTAACCACTCCTTGCCAGATACTTTCCCTCTTTCCACACAGCTCTTTTATTTTCTTGGAGTTAGAAGTAGATGCCATTTTAGCTATTTAGGATGTGTACACCACACTTCAAACATTTTTTAGAACACATAGGAGATTTTCAGAATCAGCAGGTACAGAAGAGACAGAAAATAAGTTCTCCTTCTGTGGAAACCACAGTCATTGTAAAATCAGCCCTGTGCAAAACTGCCAAGCTGAACTTACCTCCAACATCACTCCAGTTCCCTTTCTCTATCCCTTCTTCCATCCAGTGACTCCGAATCTTCGATCACAGCCGTACACAGCATCCTCAAACTGACCACTGCCTAGTACTTCTGAAGCCCCAGACCTCTAACACACCACTCCTCTTCGTCAAAACTTCTCTGTTTTCTGTCTGAGGACATCACAGCCTTTCACTCTGCCAGCAAACAAAGGTGCTATTATCTGATAGTAATTCGCTGGAGGATTTCTCTTTGAAACATTTGCACTTAAAAGCTGCTTTCAAAACAACCAAACTGACTAAAGTGAATGAAGTAGGGCATTTTTGGAAGAGTGAGAAAACTTCCCCGTAGCAATGAAAGGAGGGGCGAGCACACTCCCACCTCAAGAGGTCCTGCTGCAACCGTTCATGAAAAATGATCCTAATTGCCCAGGGCCCGGCAGAGCCTGGGCAGTCTGCCTACTTAGGATATGTGGGGGTCATTTTAACTTGGAATTTCTTGTGGGCAAAATAAGACGACTTGATAAGCACTGAGCTCACATGATGAAATAATGTATTTACAGATTACCAGTTAATGTAGACACTCATTTCCCCTAAATATGAGGTTGAACCATGTGAAATGGCCTTTCTGTAGGTCAAAAATAATCAAGTATTGGCCTTTCCATTTGGTTCAATCTCATACACACATGTACTTATTTAATACACAGACATAACTATTTTGTGGTTTTGTTAACAAAATCTACCCATTTCTTTTACTATTTGTGACTGCATAAAATTTTTTTGTTAACAAAATCTACCCATTTCTCTTACCATTTGTGAGTGAATTATCATTGGAGACATGTGTCTCCTTGTGAATGAACCCAGCCAAATGCTCTCTGTAAAATGCCTTCTTGCCATGAATATAGCAGGGGGTCTTAGAGTTCATTGCGTAAGGCAGAAAGTCTATCTCGGGCAGACTGTAGCCTGTTAGATTCTTGGTGACACTAAGAAGCCCTTCTTGAAATGCTGTTTGACCTTTTCAAGCCCATTTCACAGTTCTCATCTTAGCAGCAGTAAATTTAACCTATAGATTTAGGTCCCTTTTCTTAGTTCAAATTATAACATAAATCTTAAGCTCAATGATGTAATTTTGTTCCTTGACTAGAAGGATATTTGCTTTATGGTTCTGTAGCATGTTTTCCTGAACGGGGAAGGCACTGAGTCTGCATCTCAGCTCTACCCCTTAACAGCTATATGACCTCGGTTCAATCTTTTGTGACAAACCCCAGCCAGATGCTCATCATGCCTGTTTCCTCTTCTTCCTGGAACCACATAAATACCAGGTTCCCTTGACATTAGGTGTAGTTCTTGCCCAGGAAATATGAATGAAAGTGATGTGTGTCACCCCCAGATGCAGCAATTAAAAAGGAGCACTCCTCCTCCACACATTCACTAATCTCAGCTCCCAGCCAGGTACAGAGGATCCAGGGGTGGACCCTGGAACCCTTAGGATGGCACAGCTACTGGATGGAAAGAGCCTGCACTCAAAAGGCTGCATGGAGCAGAGCAGTCCTCTCCCGGACCCTCAATTTATTGAAGAGAAATAGACCTTGACTGTGTTATACAACAACACAATTTTAAGGTATTAGCTCACCCTGTCAGTTAAACCCCCTAATTTTTTATTTCCTCATCTGTAAAAATGAAAATAATAAAACCCACCTCATAGGGTTATTGTTAGGATTAAATGAGGTAACAAATATACAGTGCTAAGCACACTGTTTGGCACAGAATAAGACTATTGAAATGGTGGTCACTTTATGTTACCATCATCATGATCTCCAAGTCACACATTAACTGAAAAATTTTCCATATCCCTTAAAACAGCACCCAGGGTTCCAAAAATAATTTTTTGGCAGTGCTCACTGGGCAGCATACTTCCAAGACCCAGTATCTGACCCATGCAGTCTAACAGCAGAGCTTGTGGGATATTGATAATTTTTTTCTGGCTCTGAACAGTTTTCATTGGATAAGGTTAGACTTTTTAATGCCTATCATTTACTGAATAATTAAAGTCATTATTTCCAGTTACTCTTGGGCATGCAAATGTAGAAAAGCCTCTTAGAGATACCATCTGATATAACTTATTTGCTATAAATCACATGTGTATCAAGAAACTCCTTACATACCATGCACGCTCCATAAGTGCTTGTTGACTGACCGAGGGTTGAGGTTTGTTTGTTTTTTTTTTCAGTCTCAAGTTTCCTAATCATTTCCTAAAATTTTTGCTTAACAGCTGCTTTTTTCAGTGAAACACTGTCACTTTGATTAGCATCAAAAGAACACATCCACTTTTCCAACTGCAGTTTCCTCAACATCATGAGACAGCACAGTTGAATTTACAACAGCATAGACTATAGCACTGGTAAGCAGGTTTTAGATAATGCATATATATAAACCAATTTCAAAAGCAAATTTGCATATTGACCATCCAATAAAACTCTCTAATTTATATAACTAGTTCTTCCAGAGGAAAGGTATCATTTAAAGCAGATTTTGAAAGAAAAAAACAGGGGCACCTGGGTGGCTCAGTCCTTAAGCGTCTGCCTTCGGCTCAGGTCATGATCCCAGGGTCCTGGGATCGAGTCCCACGTCGGGCTCCCTGCCCGGCAGGAGGCCTGTTTCTCTCTCTCCCACTCCCCCTGCTTGTGTTCCTGCTCTCGCTGTCTCTCTCTCTGTCAAATAAATAAATAAAATCTTTAAAACAAAAGAAAGAAAGAAACATAAAAAATCAAAGCTCCAAATAGAAACAAGCAGCCTTCTTACACAGTTTCCAAAAATTCTCAAAAATCTTCTCAAATAAATAATATTACTTTGCATTTGAAATGTCTTCTCTTTGGCTCTTTGGCCAACATATCTAAGTGCACACTAGAATCCCATACTTGAGTTGAAGTCACACAGAATGTCAAGAATTACAGGCTTACTTTCCAGTTAGCTAACTACTTAAATCTATAGCTTAATAAGCAATCATATTTTGTTTTGTTACACCTTTTTCCAAAAGTGAATTAAGGTGGTTCAAATGTACAAAAAATTATTTGTGGTGAAATTAAACAAAAATACAAAGGAAGGGGTGCCTAGGTGGCTCAGTCAGTTGAGCGTCTGCCTCCAGCTCAGGTCATGATCCCAGCAGGGAACCTGCTTCTCCCTCTCCCTGACCCCCCTCAATATCTCTCTCTCTCTTTCTCAAATAAATAAAATCTTTCTTAAAAATGCAGAGGAAATTAGGAAGCAAAGGGTAATAGGGAAGAAAAATAAAGGTAAAGCCACTAGGTAAGGCTGAAAAAAGTAGCAATACTGTGAGGGTTCTAACCACTTTCTGATTCGCCACACATTTTGCTCTGAGCTTCCTGGCAACCAGTGCAAAAAGAGAAACATGATCAGTCATACAATTCACAAAGTTTATGATTATAATATTGTGAACAATGCCCCAATCAATATCCTTATACAAAATACAATAATTTCACAGGACTATTTATTTCAACTTCCATCAATATAAAAAAATGTTAAAGACTCAACAGGAGAAATGTCAAAATAAAAGGTCATATTATTTCCTAATGTGTCTGTGGAAACTCTTGGGCAATGCCAAGATTACGATGCTTTTATTTGTGGAGGTAGGTTGGAACTGGACTAATAAAAGCTTTCTGCATAATTGATTTTGTGAAGGTCATAATGGATTCAGGGTGGTAGATACACAAACCAATGTTTCCAAACAAAACATGATGGAAAATATATGAGAACCACTGATCCAAGAGGTGGGAATGACTAAAAAATTTCCTTTAAGAAAGCAGAACTTGATAGGAGTCTGGCAAAGGGACAGAAGGAAGGAAGAAGGGGACAGAAGGTACATGCTCTTATTGGCATGGGAGGGATGGCAGAAACATAATGGAAGGTCTCTAAGCACTCACATCAGTACTTGGTTTTTGATTCACTGGATCATAAGAGCGAAAGAGACTGACAAAGAATATAACATGAGAATATTGGTTGGTGAACCGTTCTAACTGAAACACACAAATAATTGAATGAGTAAAATCAGGAATAAAAGACTCATATGTGAGAAAGATTTCATTGTCCAGCTGAGTTTGGCTCTATCATTGGGACCTCACTTTCCCACTAGTTTGTGAACTCATCAAGAGGACAACTAGGGGCAGAGAGGAGAGAAAGGAGGAAGGAAGATTGCCTGAATCTTATGTCTTATTCATCTGTATTCTCAGTGTGCAATGCAAGCAGCAACGGCATGTAGCTGACATTCAGTTTTAGTTTGTTGTTAGAGAAAAGCACATCTAATTTCTTCATCTGAAATAATTTATGGTGACTTAGATTTTATAAATGAGTAGATAGTAAGGTAAGGAAAAGGAGGCACCAAATATCACCCCAAATATTAGTAACAGAAAACAGAATGAGAATAGTGTTTTGAACTAGGAAGCTTGGTACTGAGCCGCTATAACTACAAAGCTCTTTGCCATGTTTTTTTGAGTGGCAGCAATTCAACCAAGAATGAGCATTCTTGTGACAATAAATGGATATGTACTTCAGCAAAGAGAATAGAAAAGAATGATAGAGGAGTGCCTGGGTGGCTCATTCAGTTAAGCATCTGACTCTTGGCTTTGGCTGGGGTCATGATCTCATGGGTGGTAGGATCAAGCCCCATTGGTGGGGGGGGGGTTTCATACTCAGCAGGGAGTCTACTTGAAGATTCTCTCCCCCTGCCCCTCCCCACACTCCGGCACATGCTCATTCTCCCTCTCAAATAAATAAATAAATCTTAATTTAAAAAAAGAAAAGAATGATAGATTAAAAATCATGATGTCATCTACATACAGATAATAATCAAATTTCGGAGCTTTCCAAAAAGAATAAAAATGGAGAATAACAATAAAACTTAGTTTAATGGAAGGAATACTTGATTGGGAGCCAAAAGACCTGAGACTGAATCTCAGCTCCAATGCAAATTCTCTGTCCAACTTCTGATAAGTCACTTTGCATCTGGGTCTGGATTTTTCTCAACTATAAAATGGGGGTGAAGTGGAAGAGCTCAGGGGGTTTCAAACTATCCTGAAGGAAAGGTGAGGTCAAATCTGCCAGGGCTCAAGCCCCCACCCTGAGCGTGCTGTTAGCAAAATAGATTCGCCCTAACCTTTTAGCTATACCTATTAAAAAGGCTCTCGTGCATGGATTCTTTAGAAAAAAGAGACCTACTGCTTTCAAAAAGCTACAAAACCATAGGCTACAAAATCTCTGGTATCCCTTGCATCTGTCACAAATCCCTCTTA